AATGGAAGATGTGTCTAGTGATAATGGAGATGTCTCTATGTGATAATGGAGATGTCTCTACGTGATAATGGAGATGTCTCAACGTGATAATGGAGAGTCTCTACGTGATAATGGCGATGTCTCTACGTGATAATGGAGATGTCTCTAGTCATAATGGAGATGTCTCCATGTGATAATGGAGATGTCTCATGTGATAATGGAGATGTTTTACGTGATAATGGAGATGTTTCACGTGATAAAGGAGATGTCTCTACGTCATAATGGAGATGTCTCTACGTGATAATGGAGATGTCTCTACGTCATAATGGAGATGTCTCTACGTGATAATGGAGATGTCTCTACGTGATAATGGAGATGTCTCTACGTCGTAATGGAGATGTCTTCTACGTGGAATAATGGAGATGTCTCTACGTGATAATGGAGATGTCTCTACGTGATAATGGAGATGTCTCTCGTGATTAATGGAGATGTCTCTATGTGATAATGGAGATGTCTCTACATGATAATGGAGATGTCTCTACGTGATAATGGAGATGTCTCTACATGATAATGGAGATGTCTCTACGTGATAATGGAGATGTCTCTATGTGATAATGGAGATGTCTCTACGTCATAATGGAGATGTCTCTACGTGATAATGGAGATGTCTCTACGTGATAATGGAGATGTCTCTATGTGATAATGGAGATGTCTCTACGTGATAATGGAGATGTCTCCATGTGATAATGGAGATGTTTCTACGTGATAGTGGAGATGTTTTCACGTGATAAAGGAGATGTCTCTACGTGATAATGGAGATGTCTCTACGTCATAATGGAGATGTCTCTACGTGATAATGGAGATGTCTCTAACTGATAATGGAGATGTCTCTACGTGATAATGGAGATGTCTCTATGTGATAATGGAGATGTCTCTACATGATAATGGAGATGTCTCTACGTGATAATGGAGATGTCTCTACGTGATAATGGAGATGTCTCTACGTGATAATGGAGATGTCTCTACGTGATAATGGGGTGTCTCTACGTCATAATAGAGATGTCTCTACATCATAATGGAGATGTCTCTACGTGATAATGGAGATGTCTCAAATGTGATAATGAAGATGTCTCTACGTCGTAATGGAGATGTGTCTACGTGATAAAGGAGATGTATCTACGTCATAATGGAGATGTCTCAAACGTGATAATGGAGATGTCTCTACGTCGTAATGGAGATGTCTCTACGTGATAATGGAGATGTCTCTACGTGATAATGGAGATGTCTCTACGTGATAATGGAGATGTCTCTACGTGATAATGGCGATGTCTCTACGTGATAATGGAGATGTCTCTAAGTCATAATGGAGATGTCTCCATGTGATAATGGAGATGTCTCCATGTGATAATGGAGATGTTTCTACGTGATAATGGAGATGTTTTCACGTGATAAAGGAGATGTCTCTACGTCATAATGGAGATGTCTCTACGTGATAATGGAGATGTCTCTACGTGATAATGGAGATGTCTCTATGTGATAATGGAGATGTCTCTACGTGATAATGGAGATGTCTCTATGTGATAATGGAGATGTCTCTACGTCATAATGGAGATGTCTCTATGTGATAATGGAGATGTCTCTACGTGATAATGGAGATGTCTCTACGTGATAATGGAGATGTCTCTATGTGATAATGGAGATGTGTGCAAGTGATCCCAAATGGCACCCTATTCTTTGAAGCCCCTTTTATACCTGGTTCTAACATGCATCCTCTGTCCTGATCTAGTCCTCATTCTGATTGTGCCCACATTTCTATACAGGTGTAGACCTAGTGTGCTGGTCAAATGTAGGGCACTACATAGGGGATAGGGTGCCGTTTGGGACGCATAATATATATGATGGGGTGTGATTGCTGGTATTCATATTGGGTCCTGTATATTGGTCCTGTATATTGCTGGTATTATATGGGTCCTGTATATTGGGTCCTGTAATTGGTCCTGTATATTGGTCCTGTATATTGGTCCTGTATATGTCCTGTATTGGTCCCTGTATATTGGTCCTGTATAGTGGGTCCTGTATATTGGGTCCTGTATATTGGGTCCTGTATATTGGTCCTGTATATTGGGTCCTGTATATTGGGTCCTGTATAGTGGGTCCTGTATATTGGGTCCTGTATATTGGTCCTGTATATTGGGTCCTGTATATTGGTCCTGTATATTGGGTCCTGTATATTGGGTCCTGTATATTGGGTCCTGTATATTGGGTCCTGTTTATTGGTCCTGTATATTGGTCCTGTATATTGGGTCCTGTATATTGGGTCCTGTATTTTGGGTCCTGTATATTGGTCCTGTATATTGGGTCCTGTATTTTGGGTCCTGTATATTGGTCCTGTATATTGGTCCTGTATATTGGTCCTGTGTATTGGGTCCTGTATAGTGGGTCCTGTATATTGGTCCTGTATATTGGGTCCTGTATATTGGTCCTGTATATTGGTCCTGTGTAGTGGGTCCTGTATATTGGGTCCTGTATTTTGGGTCCTGTATATTGGGTCCTGTATAGTGGTCCTGTATATTGGGTCCTGTATATTGGTCCTGTATATTGGTCCTGTATATTGGTCCTGTATATTGGTCCTGTATATTGGTCCTGTATATTGGGTCCTGTATATTGGTCCTGTATAGTGGTCCTGTATATTGGGTCCTGTATAGTGGGTCCTGTATAGTGGGTCCTGTATAGTGGTCCTGTATATTGGGTCCTGTATAGTGGGTCCTGTCTATTGGTCCTGTATATTGGTCCTGTATATTGGTCCTGTATATTGGTCCTGTATATTGGGTCCTGTATATTGGTCCTGTATATTGGGTCCTGTATATTGGGTCCTGTATTGTGGGTCCTGTATATTGGTCCTGTATATTGGTCCTGTATATTGGTCCTGTATATTGGGTCCTGTATATTGGTCCTGTATAGTGGGTCCTGTATAGTGGGTCCTGTATAGTGGGTCCTGTATATTGGTCCTGTATATTGGGTCCTGTATAGTGGGTCCTGTATATTGGGTCCTGTATATTGGTCCTGTATATTGGTCCTGTATATTGGTCCTGTATATTGGGTCCTGTATAGTGGGTACTTTATATTGGTCCTGTTTATTGGTCCTGTATATTGGGTCCTGTATATTGGGTCCTGTATATTGGTCCTGTAAATTGGGTCCTGTATATTGGTCCTGTATTTTGGGTCCTGTATATTGGTCCTGTATATTGGGTCCTGTATAGTGGGTCCTGTATATTGGGTCCTGTATAGTGGGTCCTGTATAGTGGGTCCTGTATAGTGGGTCCTGTATAGTGGGTCCTGTATATTGGTCCTGTATATTGGGTCCTGTATATTGGGTCCTATATATTGGTCCTGTATATTGGTCCTGTATATTGGGTCCTGTATATTGGTCCTGTATAGTGGGTCCTGTATAGTGGGTCCTGTAAAGTGGGTCCTGTATATTGGGTCCTGTATATTGGTCCTGTATATTGGTCCTGTATAGTGGGTCCTGTATATTGGTCCTGTATAGTGGTCCTGTATATTGGGTCCTGTATATTGTTTCCTGTATATTGGTCCTGTATATTGGGTCCTGTATAGTGGGTCCTGTATATTGGTCCTGTATATTGGTCCTGTATATTGGTCCTGTATATTGGTCCTGTATATTGGTCCTGTTTAGTGGGTCCTGTATAGTGGGTCCTGTATAGTGGGTCCTGTATATTGGTCCTGTATATTGGGTCCTGTATAGTGGGTCCTGTATATTGGGTCCTGTATATTGGTCCTGTATTTTGGTCCTGTATATTGGGTAATGTCTATTGGGTCCTGTATATTGGTCCTGTATATTGGGTCCTGTATAGTGGGTACTTTATATTGGTCCTGTATATTGGTCCTGTATATTGGGTCCTGTATAGTGGGTCCTGTATATTGGTCCTGTATATTGGGTCCTGTATATTGGGTCCTATATATTGGTCCTGTATATTGGTCCTGTATATTGGGTCCTGTATATTGGTCCTGTATAGGTCCTGTATAGTGGGTCCTGTAGTGGGTCCTGTATAGTGGGTCCTGTATATTGGGTCCTGTATATTGGTCCTGTATATTGGTCCTGTATAGTGGGTCCTGTATATTGGTCCTGTATAGTGGTCCTGTATATTGGGTCCTGTATATTGTTTCCTGTATATTGGTCCTGTATATTGGGTCCTGTATATTGGGTCCTGTATAGTGGGTCCTGTATATTGGTCCTGTATATTGGGTCCTGTATAGTGGGTACTTTATAGTGGGTCCTGTATAGTGGGTCCTGTATATTGGGTCCTGTATATTGGTCCTGTATAGTGGGTCCTGTATATTGGGCCTGTATATTGGGTCCTGTATATTGGTCCTGTATATTGGGTCCTGTATAGTGGGTCCTGTATATTGGGTCCTGTATAGTGGGTCCTATATATTGGTCCTGTATATTGGTCCTGTATATTGGTCCTGTATATTGGTCCTGTATATTGGTCCTGTTTAGTGGGTCCTGTATAGTGGGTCCTGTATAGTGGGTCCTGTATATTGGTCCTGTATATTGGGTCCTGTATAGTGGGTCCTGTATATTGGGTCCTGTATATTGGTCCTGTATATTGGTCCTGTATATTGGTCCTGTATATTGGGTCCTGTATAGTGGGTCCTGTATATTAGGTCCTGTATATTGGTCCTGTTTATTGGTCCTGTATATTGGGTCCTGTATATTGGGTACTTTATATTGGTCCTGTATATTGGTCCTGTATATTGGTCCTGTATATTGGTCCTGTATATTGGGTCCTGTATATTGGTCCTGTATATTGGTCCTGTATATTGGGTCCTGTATATTGGTCCTGTATATTGGGTCCTGTATATTGGGTCCTGTATATTGGGTCCTGTATATTGGGTAATGTCTATTGGGTCCTGTATATTGGTCCTGTATATTGGTCCTGTATAGTGGGTACTTTATATTGGTCCTGTATATTGGTCCTGTATATTGGGTCCTGTATATTGGGTCCTGTATATTGGGTCCTGTATAGTGGGTACTTTATATTGGTCCTGTATATTGGGTAATGTCTATTGGGTCCTGTATATTGGTCCTGTATATTGGGTCCTGTATATTGGGTCCTGTATATTGGGTCCTGTATATTGGGTCCTGTATAGTGGGTCCTGTATAGTGGGTCCTGTATATTGGGTCCTGTATAGTGGGTCCTGTATATTTTTCCTGTATATTGGTCCTGTATATTGGGTCCTGTATATTGGTCCTGTATATTGGGTCCTGTATATTGGTCCTGTATATTGGGTCCTGTATATTGGTCCTGTATATTGGTCCTGTATATTGGTCCTGTATATTGGGTACTTTATATTGGGTCCTGTATAGTGGGTACTTTATAGTGGGTCCTGTATAGTGGGTCCTGTATAGTGGGTCCTGTATATTGGTCCTGTATATTGGTCCTGTATATTGGTCCTGTATATTGGGTACTTTATAGTGGGTCCTGTATAGTGGGTACTTTATAGTGGGTCCTGTATAGTGGGTCCTGTATATTGGGTCCTGTATATTGTTCCTGTATAGTGGGTCCTGTATATTGGGTCCTGTATAGTGGGTCCTGTATATTGGGTCCTGTATATTGGTCCTGTATATTGGGTCCTGTATATTGGTCCTGTATAGTGGGTCCTGTATATTGGGTCCTGTATAGTGGGTCCTGTATATTGGTCCTGTATAGTGGGTCCTGTATAGTGGGTCCTGTATATTGGTCCTGTATATTGGGTCCTGTATTTTGGTCCTGTATGGGTGTTTTTTAGTGCTGGTTCAATTTAATTATTTTCTACACCTGCAGACTTTTGATACACTTTATACAAAAGGTGTCTCCACACCTTTCTCTACACCTTAGTTCCTCTGTAAGCTTGGTGATATGTCTTCAATGTTGAAAAGCTGCGTACGCCCTCAGAGCAAGCACAACATGCTGTAATAGGAAGTAGTCTGTAAGGTATTGAAAAGAAATGGCTCAGAAGGTGTTTATTCTATCATAGTATCTCCTCTATAATAAGCAGTCCTCCCCATTGTGAGGTTGATGTGAAAGATGTCAGGGGTTTCACTATAATTAGGACCTCAGGGACATCTTGAGGAAAATCAATTTCATATTTTATCTCTGGCTTTACATACAGAAATTACTTTACAGTGGGTCAAATACCGTATACATCCTCTATACAGTGGGTCATATACAGTATGTATCCTCTTTACAGTGGTTCATATACTGTATGTATCATCTTTACAGTGGGTCATATGCAGTATGCATCCTCTCTACAGTGGGTCACATACAGTATGTATCTCTACAGTGGGTCATATACAGTATCTACCCTCTTTACAGTGGGTCATATACAGTATGCATCCTCTTTACAGTGGGCAATATGCATTATGTATCTTTACAGTATGTATCCTCTTTACAGTGGGTCATATACAGTATGTATCTTTACAGTGGGTAATATACTGTATGTATCCTCTTTACAGTGTGTCATATACAGTATGTATCTTTACAGTGGGTCATATACAGAATGTATCCTCTTTACAGTGTGTCATATACAGAATGTATCCTATTTACAGTGGGTCAAATACAGTATGTATCCTCTTTACAGTGGGTCATGTACAGTATGCATCCTCTTTACACTGGGTCATATGCAGTATGTATCCTCTTTACAGTGGGTCATATACAGTATGTATCCTCTTTACAGTGGGTCATATACAGTATGTATCCTCTTTACAGTGGGTCATATACAGTATGCATCCTCTTTACAGTGGATCATATACAGTATGTATCCTCTTTACAGTGGGTCATATACAGTATGTATCCTCTTTACAGTGGGTCATATACAGTATGTATCCTCTTTACAGTGGGTCATATACAGAATGTATCCTCGTTACAGTGGGTCATATGCAGTATGTATCCTCTTTACAGTGGGTCACATATAGTATGTATCCTCTTTACAGTGGGCCATATGCAGAATGTATCTTTACAGTATGTATCCTCTTTACAGGGGGTCATATACAATATGTATATCTACAGTGGGTCATATGCAGTATGGATCTCTACAGTGGGTCATATACAGTATGCATCCTCTTTACAGTGGGTCATATACAGTATGTATCTTTACAGTATGTATCTCTACAGTGGGTCATATACAGTATGTAACCTCTTTACAGTGGGTCATATACAGTATACATCCTCTTTACAGTGGGTCATATAAAGTATGTATCCTCTTTACAGTTTGTATATTCTTTACAGTGGGTCATATGCAGTATGTATCCTCTTTACAGTGGGTCACATATAGTATGTATCCTCTTTACAGTGGGTCATATACAGAATGTATCCTCTTTACAGTGGGCCATATGCAGTATTTATCTTTACAGTATGTATCCTCTTTACAGTGGGTCATATACAGTATATATCTTTACAGTGGGTTATATACTATTTGTATCCTCTTTACAGTGTGTTATATACAGTATGTATATTTACAGTGAGTCATATACAGAATGCTTCCTCGTTACAGTGGGTCATATACAGTATACATCCTCTTTATACTGGGTCATATACAGTATGCATCCTCTTTACAGTGGGTCATATACAGTATGTATCCTATTTACAGTGGGTCATATACAGTATGCATCCTCTTTACAGTTAGTCATATATAGTATATATCCTCTTTACAGTGGTTCATATATAGTATGTATCCGCTTTACAGTGGGTCATATACAGTGTGTATCCTCTTTACAGTATGTATCCTCTTTAGAGTGGGTCATATACAGTATGTATCCTCTTTACAGTGGGTCATATATAGTATGTATCCTCTTTACAGTGGGTCATATACAGTATGTATCCTCTTTACAGTGGGTCATATACAGTATGTATCCTCTTTACAGTATGTATCCTCTTTACAGTGGGTCATATACAGTATGTTTCCTCTTTACAGTGGGTCATATACCGTATGTATCCTCTTTACAGTGGGTCATATACAGTATGTATCCTCTTTACAGTATGTATCCGCTTTACAATGGGTCATATGCAGTATGTATCCTCTTTACAGTGGGTCACATATAGTATGAATCCTCTTTACAGTGGGCCATATGCAGTATGTATCCTCTTTACAGTGGGCCATATGCAGAATGTATCTTTACAGTATGTATCCTCTTTACAGTGGGTCATATACCGTATGTATCTTTACAGTGGGTTATATACAGTATGTATCCTCTTTACAGTGTGTCATATACAGTACGTATCTTTACAGTGGGTCATATACAGAATGTATCCTCTTTACAGTCGGTCATATACAGAATGTATCTTTACAGTGGGTCATATACAGAATGTATCCTCGTTACAGTGGGTCATATACAGTACGTATCTTTACAGTGGGTCATATACAGAATGTATCCTCGTTACAGTGGGTCATATACAGTATGTGTCCCATTGAAATTGAAATGAACAAACTCACAGCTTTTGCGAATTTTGAGATCTTCTTAAATGCTTGCCTAACAGTAGTGTAATGAAAAACAACTGCACTACAGTGACTTTTCCATCGAAGATACTTGACAGTATGTTGTTTTTAAGTCACTAATAGTGTGTTTCTCCAGCTAGCCCATGACAGTCCATTCATCAGCTTCACCCATCCATTGCCTTTTTCAGCAGCGATACCCTTCAGTCTGTAAAAGCCTCCAGGCTGAAAGCGGAAAGCCTTGGACAGCGTTGACTGTCAGACAGAAGGGTGGGCATGTAGTGCAGTGTTGTGTCGTAATTAAACAATCAATTACTTGTCTAGATGATTGAATACTTGTCTGTTCTGCGGCTAGCACCTCGCTGTGCTTCAGGGGGCTATGGGAGGGATCTTCCTCTTTAATGAGGCCATGTCTCTCAGCAGACTGCTGACAAGGTGAAGTCCACTGGTTTTTGTGTCCCGAATGGCACCCTATTCCCTACATAACACACTACTTTTAAACAGAGCCCCATGGGCCCTAGTCAGACGTAGTGCAGTATTATAGGGACTAGGGAGCCATTCGGGAAGCTGTCCTACCCAACCTTATCAAACTGCTGCCGTCCTTGTTCCCTAGTTACCATCGGCTTCACTTGTTGAGCTAAAGGTGCATTGTCAGACTGACTAGACAGAAGGGAGAAACAGCCTTTGGTTGGTCCATGACTGCGTTTCACATGGCACCATATTCTACATTTTACATTTTAGTCATTTAGCAGACGCTCTTATCCAGAGCGACTTACAGGAGCAATTTGGGTTAAGTGCCTTGCTCAAGGGCACGTCGACAGATTCTTCACCTAGTCGGCTCGGGGATTAGAACCAGCGACCTTTCGGTTACTGGCACAACGCTCTTAACCCCTAAGCTACCTCTGTATAGTATGCTACCTTTGACTAAAGTCCTATTGGCATCGGTCAAAAGTAGTGCACTATATAGGGAATAGGGTGCCCTTTGAAGGGGGAGACCATCTCTGTTTGATCGTTGAACATTCCTCTGTCCAGCAGCTCATATCTCCCATCCCTCTGCTGTCTGTCTGCCACAGAGCAGACTGCACTGTGTTTAACACTGTGCTCTGTGTGTGATGTGATGCACACATGTGATGCTACAGTATGTTATGAAAGCATCATACAAGCACAGGTAATTCTGTTGGTGTTTTTTCGGTACCTTATTTCCAGTGGGTTCATCCTCAGCCCCTATACAGTCTACTATAGACATGAGACCATATAAATATAATCTATACAATCTATTTGGATGGATGAGAGGCTTTATTGTCATACGATGGTGAAGGTGGTCCTCCTCTGTTTTTGACCCCAGGTGTGTTGTGTTTTATGGATGAGTACAGAAACATAATGGTAACACTACATGGTATAATACACACATTATTTTCCGTAGGTTCCTCCTCAGCCCCCTTTACAGTATACTATAGACACAGACCACAGAATTGATTTAATATGGTGCTAAAGCAGGTTCTCCTTTGTTTTTGATTGATCTCACCTCTCATCTCCTCCCCTCTCCTCCTCCTCCTCTCCTCCCCTCTCCTCCTCCTCTCTCACCTACTCCTCCTCCCATCGCCTCCCCTCTCTCCACCCCTCTCCACCTCTCTCCTCCCCTCTCACCTTTGCTCCCCTCTCCTCCCCTGTTCTCCTCTCTCCTCCCCTCTCACCTCCCCTCTTCTCCCCTCTCCTCTTCTCCTCTCTGTTCCCTCTCACCTTTTCTCCCCTCTCCTCCCCTGTTCTCCTCTCTCCTCCCCTCTCTTCTCCCCTCTTCTCCTCTCTGTTCCGACTTCAGATGAGTCCCAAGACGCTTGTGGGGGTCGTAGAGCAAAACGGAGAACACCATCCTGTTCGTGAGTCTCATATTTCCATAGAGGGGTCTCTAGCTTAAACTGACAGATTTTTAGGAGGAATGTTATATTATGCTAATTAGATTTCCACGGGGGTGTAGACATCGACCTTAGGGGTTTAACATTTCATTACACACGCTGAGTCTCTCAATGGGAGAGTGCATGGTGCCGACTGTTCCGTCATTACAGTAGAACACCTCCCCTCTCACCTCCTCTTCTCCCCTCCCCTCTTCTCCTCTCTCCTCCCCTCTCACCTCCCCTCTTCTCCCCTCTCCTCTTCTCCTCTCTCCTCCCCTCACACCTTTTCTCCTCTCCTCCCCTGTTCTCCTCACTCCTCCCTTTCTCACCTCACCTCCCCCCAGGCTCTGTTGTGTTTTATGGATGAGCACAGAAACAAGAGGGTGCCTTCTGCGTTGCGCTGCATTGTGGAAAGTGTTTAACTTCCAAATGAAATGATCACAATGGGTGTTCTACTGTAATGACGGAACAGTCGGCACCATGCACTCTCCCATTGAGAGACTCAGCGTGTGTAATGAAATGTTAAACCCCTGAGGTCGATGTCTACGCCCCCGTGGAAATCTAATTAGCATAATATAACATTCCTCATAAAAATCTGTCAGTTTAAGCTAGAGAGCCCTCTATGGAAAGATGAGACTCACGAACACGATGGTGTTCTCCGTTTTGCTCTACGACCCCCACAAGCGTCTTGGGACTCATCTGAAGTCGGAACAGCCGATCTGCCAACTTCTGTCTGTAACATCCGAACAGTTTGGGGCTACACATTAATATGACCCCTCTGTGTAAAGGTGAGACTCTCACGAACACGGACATGTTTTGCTCTAGGACGCCCACAGGCCTCACAAGTCTCATCTGAAGGTCCCCCCGAAAAAATCAAGGGAAGTACTGTATATATGGAGACTGTTTAGTGCCATAAATAAAGGGTTAAATACTAAAATCCTGACTCAGATGAAAAATTATATTTTGCCCTTATTGCTATTAGCCCATACAAACGCATTGAATAACAGATTCACTACATGGAACAACAGATAGTCCCCCCCAAAAAAAATCAAAAGGAAGTTTGTTCTGATGGGTCTATCCTTTTACATGTATTGAACCCCTTATTTTATGCACTAAACTATCTCCATATATACCTCCATTAATTTTTTAAAACTGGTAGTGGGGACCTGGGGACCTTCAGACAAGTCTTATGAGGCTTGTGGGCGTCCCAGAGCAAAACAAACCGACATGTACAGTACGTGTTCATGAGGGACTCGCCTTTATGTTAGTGTCCAGCCCAAACAAACTGTTCGGACGCTACAAAGGTTGTCAGAAGAGACTGTACCGACCTCAGATGAGTCCCGTGATGCTTGCTGGGGGTCGCAGAGCAGAAGAACACCGCGGTGTTCGCGAGAGTCTCGTCTTTCCACAGAGAGGTCATAATAGTTTGTAGGCCAAACCCTTTCGGACGCTACAGACATTTTCGTGAGAATTCCGATATGTGGGAAGTCTCATGGTCTGACAAACACCGCTCTATGTCTGCCACCTTTCGCCGCAGATGCGGAATTGCGATATCGGCGGATGTGGTGGATTGAGACACAGCCCATGCAAAAAACCCTGATATCTTTAGCTTAAACAGACCGATTTTGATGGGTGCCGCGGAAATTGTAGGAGAAGGGTTCATTTTCTTGCCAAGTTAAATAAAGGTTAAATAAAATATACAAAATAAAATGATAATGTGGTGGTGGTGATGATGAGGATAGTGGTGTTGATAATGATGATGAGGAGGATGATTATGATGATGAGGAGGATGATTATGATGATGAGGAGGATGATGGTGATGATGATGACGGTGGTGATGATGATGATGAAGATCATGCTGATGATGAGGATGAGGAGGAGAATGATGTGATGATGATGATGGTGATGATGATGATGCTGACGGTGATGATGGTGATGACGGTGATGGTGATGATGATGACGGGGATGATGATGATGATGACGGTGATGATGATGATGATGAAGATGATGATGATGACGGTGATGGTGATGGTGATGGTGATGATGATGATGGTGATGATGATGATGATGATGATGATGACGGTGATGATGATGATGACGGTGATGATGATGATGATAAGGGACATTGATCCTTGAAGAGATGCAGTTTTGGATGCCAGTAAGAGATGTAAAGCGATCTGTTCTGTGAGTCAGACAGCTGTCATACTCTGTATATCCCTAACAAGTAGGCCTCCTCAGTTCAAGCAGTTCAATCTCTAGCACATAGTTCTTAGAAGCAACAACGGAGAAGAAAGTGAATAAAATCTTCTAAACACTTGAATGGAAAGAAACTTCACTAACCTTCCTTGGCTAACTTGGCTCTGGGGAGATACAGCGGTGTTGCGACAACATCACACTTCATTCATCTTCCAGAATACATGCAGAATACCTCCTTTCTTTATACTGTGTGTATTCCTACCATCTCACATTCAAGGTCATGGAGAAGAAATGGACCAGTTGTTCATATGGTACAGCACGTACAACACCTGCTATTGGCCAACATGACAGGTTCCTATTAGCAGTTGATGATATTTGTATTCAACTTCAGAAGTTATGGGGGATCGATATACCGCGGGGAAAACGTTATGTTAAAGAACTAGTGGAAATTACATTCAAACGTCATCCTTCATCCAGTTGCATAGCAGGGTGTTATTTAGCATTTTATAATTGTCAGTCATTAATCTCCACATATTGAACTATCTTTCATAAAATATGTAATACAAATGTTATCTTTTGAAGAGGCAAGAATGCACTTTTTTTTGTCATTGCCATGGCCAACTTAAAGGGCAATTCCAAAACCTAATTATCTCAATACCAGTGTCTAAATAAACTACATGACCAGAAGTATGTGGACACCTGCTCGACGAACATCTCATTCCAACATCACGGGCATTAATATGGAGTTGGTCCCCCCCCTTTGCTGCTATAACAGCCTCTACTCTTCTGGGAAGGCTTTCCACTAGATGTTGGAACATTGCTGCAGGGACTTGCTTCCATTCAGCCACAAGAGCATTAGTGAGGTTGGGTACTGATGTTGGGCAATTAGGCCTGGCTCGCAGTTGGCGTTCCAATTCATCCCAAAGGTGTTCGACGGGGTTGAGGTCAGGGCTCTGTGCAGGCCAGACAAGTTCTTCCACATGGATCTCGACAAACCATTTATGTATTGACCAGAATCGTCTAGAATTACATTGTATTCCTCCTCTACCAAACTTTACAGTTGGCACTATGCATTCGGGCAGGTGGCGTTCCCCTGGCATCCGCCAAACCCAGATTAGTCCGTCGGACTGCCAGATGGTGAAGTGTGACTTATCACTCCAGAGAACGCGTTTCCACTGCTCCAGTATCCAATGGCGGATGCCAGCTATACACCACTCCAGCCAACGCTTGGCATTGCGCATGGTGATCTTAGGCTTGTGTGCGGCTGCTCGGCCATGGAAACCCATTTCATGAAGCTCCCCACAAACAGCTATTGTGCTGACGTTACTTCCAGAGGCAGTTTGGAACTCAGTAGTGAGTTTTTACGCGCTACGCGCTTCAGCACTCTGTGATCCTATTCTGTGAGCATGTGTGGCTTAACACTTCGCGGCTGAGCTGTTGTTGCTCCTAGACGTTTCCACTTCACAATAACAGCACTTACAGTATGTCACGGTTTCGGCCGAGGCTGCTCCTCTTCCTTGTTCGGGCAGGCTTCGGCGGTCGTCGTCTCCGGAGTACTAGCTGCCACCGTTCTATGTTTCATGTTCATTTGGTTTTGTCTGTTCATAACACCTGTCCCTTATTTGTGTCTTAATTGTTTCCCTATTTAGTTTCGTGTGTGTGGGTCAGGTGTTATGCGTGATTGTTTTTGTCAGACTGCCTCTGTAAGGATACCTTTCTCTCCTCTTGAGACAAGGGATACACATGGCTCCGCGGGAGAGCTGCTCCTGACTGGAGATCTATCGCACAATCCCCCCGCCTATGAGGCGGCAACTGCGCCGCCCGAGTCTTACTGAACGCCAGTGCCAAATCCTCATACTCGGGGGGAATCTGCAGTGCTGGCATCAGATTCGGACTCTCCACCGAGGTCGCCCCTATGGAAACACCCAGACACCGCCCCTCACATTGAGCAGACCACCCTTTAAGAGCTTTCTCTCGCCACCCAATAATAGGGTCATGAGTCATCAACCAGGGAAGACCCAGCACTACCGGATACGCAGGAGAGTCAATCAGATAGAGCTGAATTCTCTCCTCATGACCCTCCTGCGCCATCATCTGAAGGGGCGCTGTGACCTCCCTAATCAACCCAGACCCTAACGGACGGCTATCTAGGGCATGGACGGGGAAAGGCTTATCCACTGGAAGAAGGGGAATCCCTAACTCTATACAGAACTGGCGATCTACAAAATTCCCAGCTGCGCCTGAATCTACCAGCGCCTTATGCTGGGAACGAGGTGCAACCTGTGGGAAACAAACAGGCAAGGTTAGGTGCACGACAGAAAGCTCTGGGTAAGCAGGGCGCCTACTCACCTGGGTGGACCCCCCAATGCGTGACCTGCCTTCTCCCTCACTGGAGGACCCGCCCCAACACCTAGCCGCGGTGTGCCCTCCACGACCACAGTTGGTGCAAGGGCCGGGTCCCCTCGGGCTCCTCCTCCTCCGTTCCCTAGCGCCAGCACCTCCGAGCTCCATAGGGCTCGGCTCGGAGGTGCTGGAGAGTGGAATGGGCAACCCCCTCCCGGAACGTCCACGGGTGGCGAGCAGGGTATCCAGCCGGATGGCCATGTCGACAAGCTGGTCGAAAGACAACGAAGTGTCCCTGCACGCCAACTCTCGCTGGACGTCCTCCCGGAGGCTGCAGCGGAAATGGTCGATATGGGCCCGCTCATTCCACCCTGCATCAGCCGCTAGGGTCCGAAACTCCAAGGCAAAGTCCTGGGCGCTCCTCATCCCCTGTCGGAGGTAGAACAGACGCTCCCCCGCCGCCTTCCCCTCTGGTGGATGGTCGAACACAGCACGGAAGCGGCGGGAGAACTCCGCATAGTTCGTGGTAGCGGCGTCCATTCTCCTCCACTCGGCGTTGGCCCACTCCAACGCCTTGCCGGTGAGACAGGAGATGAGGGCTGAGACGCTCTCGTGTCCCGAGGGCGCCGGGTGTACGGTGGCGAGGTAGAGCTCCACCTGCAGCAGGAACCCTTGACACCCGGCAGTGGAGCCGTCGTACGCCCTCGGGAGCGAGAGCCGAATCCCACTAGGTTCCGGAGATGAGACAGGAGGGCTGACTGATGGGGCTGGTTCGGTTCCTGGAGGTGTGGGAACCCCGCTGGTCTCCCATCGGTGCAGAGTACTCATCACCCTCTCCAGGGCATGACAGACCTGGTTGATGCGGTCCTCCTGGCCACGAAGACGTTCAGCCATCTCGGCTGTCGGCTCGGTCGCTCCTGCTGAATCCATGGATATGATGCGTGATTCTGTCAGAGTGGTGTGTGTAGATGAGTGGAAAGGAATCAAGCGCAGGAACCAGGATGACTTCAACCGTCTTTTATATATACGTTCAACACGTGAACCCAAAAATAGTCGCCAACCCAACCGGGTGGCGCAAAACAATTACGCACAAAACACGGTGCGAAATACACAAGAAAAGCGCACGCAGTGCGAACTCTCGGGACAAGCCAACAACGAGAGAAAGGTATCCTTACAGAGGCAGTCTGACAAAAACAATCACGCATAACACCTGACCCACACACACGAAACTAAATAGGGAAACAATTAAGACACAAATAAGGGACAGGTGTTATGAACAGACAAAACCAAATGAACATGAAACATAGAACGGTGGCAGCTAGTACTCCGGAGACGACGACCGCCGAAGCCTGCCCGAACAAGGAAGAGGAGCAGCCTCGGCCGAAACCGTGACACAGTAGACCGGGGCAGCTCTAGCAGGGCAGAAATTTGACGAACTGAGTTGTTGGAAAGGTGGCATCCTATAACGGTGCAATGTTGAAAGTCACTGAGATCTTCAGTATGGGCCATTCTACAGCCAATGTGTGTCTATGGAGATTGCATGGCTGTGCGCTCGATTTTATACACCTGTCAGCAACGGGTGTGGCTGAAATAGCCGAATCCACTAATTTGAAAGGGTGGTCACATACTTTTGGCCATGTAGTGTATGTTTTGTAGAAACAATTATAAAGTTACAAAGTTCTACCTGATTACATCATCAAAAGTTAAAACATTTTAAAAACAGATTCACGGTTACACGGGGAGCAAGAAAATACCCTCACTCTGGCAAATACCCTCCCTCTGGAGAACGTCCAGTTTTGACTGACGCAACAGTCAGCGTTTGAGCTAGCCACACTGTTTTTTCACAGAAATATGTTGCACAAACACAGTCCTTACAAAGTCATGTCTTGAATGCAGTGGCGGTCAGTGCCGTTTAAGATGAGGGAGGACTATTTTTTTTTTTCCATGAGCATGGCCTTATTTCTATTACAGCATATTGGATGACTGTCGTTCATATTCCATTCACCCAGTTCAATGTAACATCGATAGGTTTAGACTACTACATGATACTCTAATTTCCCTGTACCCATCATGAGGTTGCTACAACCTAGTCTATGAATGAAAGTGCACACAGGTCGAGAGACAAATTTGAGGTGACAGACAGTGACACGTGGACATACAGTGACATTCAATACCGCCTTGCACACTCTTGCCTGCATTTAGCTAATATAGGGTGTAATCATTAGTCCAACAGTTGCAAACGAGAGTTTCTATTGGACAAATTCAGCTATGTTTATCCCTGTTTTGTTCCATTTTGTTCCGTTTGCTTCCGTTTAAGAAACGTTTTTCAACAGATTTGGCGGAATGAACACACCCCTGATCACGCGTAAACACAGTTCACTTTCATAGCAGCCACGTTGTATTCCTTCTCGCATCTCTCCTCCTCTCTCCTCTTCTCTTCGCTTGTGGACTTCAATGCACAACACATTAGCTGTATGTGACCAGGCGAAAAAACCTATCCAAGCAAAACCGCTACACACAGCCTACATCGTTGTCACCATATTAGCTAAAGTAACATTATTCAGCGTAGCTAATAGAACTAATACGTTAGTAAACCC